TCTTTTGGAATCCGCTGTCAGATTTAATATTGGTGTAGGATTAAAAATTTATCCACATCCCTATTTAATGTTTTACTTAAACACTGATTGGAGTTTATTTCTTATCATTGTGTTCATGGTTGTCTGTCTTTGTTTTGATGTTACTATAAACTTTTTTTTTTCTTTTGAACAAACTTGAACCTGAAAATGTTTTTGTTCTAGAGATCTAAACAATACAAACTACAGTTTCTGATAATCATGTCTGTTTATCATTAACATAATATTCTGTGGAGGATTTGTTCAKCTATGCTTCATAAATACAATGTGAAATGAATTCAACACAAAACAAATTCTCACCAAAAATCAATTTTATTCCAACATTTTACTCTGAACTTGTAATATARCYTATTATTTTTACAGCTTGCTGGTTYRTGTAGRAAACAAAAGGGGCGGGTTTGCATTTAAGCTAACGCTGAGATGTTTGTTGTTCTGATTTTACCCCCAAAATACAGAACAAAACAGCTAACTTTTATTTAGATTATACATCACTCTTATAAGTTTTGTGGACTTTATGTGAGGACAAGCTAGATGAGCTGGGTTCGATTCTGCAGCACTTGTCGTCAACATAGCATGGTGGTAAATTAAGCATCTCCATATTAGGCGGCCGCAGACACGTTTCCCTGCTCGAGTCGAGTCCTTACCCCGTGTTTAGCTTGTAGCTCCGCCATTCTCTGCCGCCTTATCGCATCTAATTCTTCGTCTGCCATTGTTTTATACAGTAATGTAAAGGCTACAACTCTGGGGTGGGACTGAAAATCACACTACAACACGCCAGAGCAGAGGCAAGGCCCTACTGAGAATCAGGGAGACTTAATCGACTGCAGAGAAGAGAGAGAGGATCAGAGCTTCAAGGAAAAGCAGCTGAACACAGAAACATCGATTTTAAAACGCTGTTGTAAAAATTATGAAATAATGAAAAAAAAGTATTACTTGTGAATTTATTGTTGTTATGTTCAAACYAGATACAAACAATATCAGATTAACAACATAAAACACAACAACAAAACAGTATGAAGATAAAATAACACAATCCTTCACAAGCAAGCAGGCCTGTAGAAATATGACTTTTTCAGTGTGTGTGTGTGTGTGTGTGTGTGTGTGTGTGTGTGTGTGTGTGTGTGTGTGTGNGTGTGTGTGTGTGTGTGTGTGTGTGTGTGTGTGTGTGTGTGTGTGTGTGTGTTACCTTCATTTATTTTACTAAAGCTCAAATGCAGAACCAGAACGTGAAAATGAAACCACACTTTAATGCAGCCATAAGAAACAATAAGTGTTGCTGAACACATGTATGCAGCCTCCACCTTATAACAAAAATGTTTTGGTAATCTTATATTTAAGTGGATGTTTTAAAACATTACCAAAGAAGGAAAGACATTGACGGTTTTATTGGGTAAAATAAACGGCTGCTTTAATCAATCTGAGAGGGATCATAGAAGGGTCTACATGTTCATTTTTATCACTTATATGAGTATACAGTTTACTGTTAGAGCAACACAGGGATGAATGGAACAATTCCTACATTTTTTGTAACAAACACTTCAATTTTACAACTTTTTTCCAGCACGTTTCCACAATAAACCCTTCAGTTCTTATTCTAAATGATACTTTTACTCAAATACAAAATAATTTTATTCAGCTCTGAGGGATGTCCTTGCTGGGGTTGTACCACAGGAGACTCCAGTGTGTTCGGTCTCTAGCTCCCCCGGTACGTACTGTAGGAAAAACGACTCACAAGCAGGGGGATATGATACTTTTGATCTGGGTTAGTTATAGTAAAAACAATCTGTAAAAGAAAAAAAAATAGGACAAAAAATAAACAGTTATCATGTGGCTACGTTGACAATGAGAATACAGTTTTCTTGTCTGTTACAACTCTGTTATAATAAAAGACTAATAAATGAGCATTACATAAAAGCCATGTTTGTTATTTTCTCACCTCAACATAAGGGTAGAAGGACGTCTCTCCCATTCTCTCCCAGTACTGAGCGGTCTCAAAATGCATTTTATACACAGCAGGTTTAAACTGTTGCTTTGTGATGAGTCCTGGGCATCGTCCGTCATCATTAGTTGTCCTGATGAGAGAAAATGTGTGAATGACAACAAAGTTTCAGATTCTTAAATGGTTTACTAGTTGTTGTTTTTTTAAATTTTATTTTAAATTTAGAAGGTTATTACCCAGTGGTTATCAGAGTCCAAACATTAGTTGAGAGGTCTTGTTGATATAGTCTGATGGTCATGTTTGACCCTGGGACACCCATGGCAGTGTTCAACACATGAGTGGTCAGAGGACTCGGTGAGCCTGCCATTGTTGGGATCTACAAAACAAAACAAAACAAAAAAGTCAACACCTTTGGATGTCTACCTGTATCAAACCTTCAGAAATTCCTACAATTCACAAAAACATCCTCCATACTCTCACACGACACAAACTTTGTTTTTAAAAATCATCACCTAATTTTCCTCTGACTTATGTTCAGATGGTGTTTGAACATGAAATGTTCTTTAATGAAAACAAGACGAGTTTTTGAAAAATCTGTAAGAATTTGTTCATAGTCATGAATTTTTTGAGAAAAATCTGTATCATTTCCAGACAATCTGCACAAAATGTCCTAAATGACTGAATTACTGCKTATTAATTCAATAGTATTGTTTTTATGTATGCATGAATGAAAATTTAAAATGGGAAAATACAATTAATTCCGTTTTATGTGCTTTCCCCAACAACAACAGAAATACAGTCACTCAAATAATGTTTTTCAAAAAACAAAGATAAAAAAACTCCTATAACATTGAACAGAAACACCAAAATTAATAAAACTTTTTATTTTTTTTTTTACAGATTTGTTTGTCAGACTGAAGTACTAAATTCTTCAGAGTAACTTCTTACCTCTAACTTGTTTAAATTTAAAAGTTAAATTACAAATCTATAGTATCTTGTGTTCAATAAAAACCTTTAGGCTTAAAACAAAAACAAATTTAGTTCATATTTTGAATCAACGTAAATGAGGTTGGTTTTAGACCAATATGTTTTGTTGTGAAATCAATAAAGAGCTTTCTGCTTACCTTAGTTTCAGGTATTAGCTGCCCCTTCAGCTGCTGCAGCCTGAATGCACTCATGCTCACTTATAAATAAAATCTAAACTAGGTCAGCAGCTTGTACCAAGAAACGTAATTTAATGGTTTAATGGGCAGAATCAGATTTTTACTTACATTATGCCTGAGAAGAACTGTCCTATTCAGAGTGCCTCGCAGTGTGCATGCTTTTTATCTTTTTGCTAAACAGTAACACAATTGTGTAAGAATTCCTCGTGTCACACTTTTGGTTTTCTGAACTTTGGACTCATGGAACAAGCAGATCAGAAGTTTTTTTTCCTGATATGTGTGTTTAACTCGGCAACACGATGGTTGCCACATTGAACCTTAACAGAAAAATTCTTTGTAGAGTTTACGTGATTGTATTTTCCCTGGCTAGTCCAGCTTTTTGTGTTTATGGATGTTATGGTGATTTGTCTATTCTGCGTTTTGTCTTTTGCCCATTTAAGCCCCCCTGAGTCTCAACAGGACTAAACGAGAACAT